CATGTGTGATCGCACGCATCGTCCTTGTGCTAAAAACCTTTTCCCTTTCTTAAGTAAAATTACAAAAATATATTTTAAAGGTTTAGGCACATGTGTGATCGCACGCATCGTCCTTGTGCTAAAAAACCTTTTCTCTTTATTTTAGAAATCTACAAAAAAACTAAAAATATCTACAATTTCAAACAAAAAACAAATGGCTACCCAGAACTACGTGATCCTTGATTCTCCATCAAGAGTGGAGATACGTAGGAGCAAGGCCAGTCCTTGTCAGGTTCACTTTCCCAAAAATCCAAAATCATTTCTAAGCGAAATTCTCAAACCATTTTCTAAACAAAATTTCCAACACATTTTCAAAAAGAACTACGTAACCCTGATTTCTCGTTTTGAATGAGAATACGTAGGAGCAAGGTCAATCCTTGTCGGGCCCAAAAAACTAAAAAATATGTTTTGTTTATTTAGAATTTTATTTTAGGGGATAGTTAAACATTTTGAAAACCACATCATATTCGTGCATTTAGTTAAAGGTACTGCCTTAGGGCAGGCGTTGTAGGGTGCTAACACCTTCCCTACACGTAACCGACTCCCGAACCCAGAATCTGGTTTTCGCGGACCGTGTCTTATCATTTTATGGTTTTTCCATAGTTTTCTATAATAAACTATGGTGGCGACTCCAAATCTCTTTTCCAAAACTCGATTTTCTTTTTGGATCGTCGTCCCGTCGCGATTCCGATTGCGACACTAGGTATCCATCAACACACGCAGAGGGCTCATGAGCTTCAGCGACACTAGTAGTGGCATGCTCTACATACCTCAGCCAATTTAGATCAATCGTCGGAATGTCTGGCATTGAAAGGCTCTTAGGCGAACGTGGTATGATCTGCTGAAAATCGAACTGACGCAACACGCGTTTAGGTAGATGTCGGTGAATCATGTTGCCTAGTCGGATCCATCCTGAAAACATACATATGGCAATGAATGGACATGTACGTCTGTGCGAAATGTATGGATGCAAGATGACTGCATTATACGTGAGCCCATCCAGATATGTCCGCCCCTCCTTTAGACTCCAACCCTACCTCGGAGCTATTATCATGAAGCCTGTGGATCGAGTTTTGTGTACCTATCCAACACTCGCCTCCTTCCCATGCCAGGAAGGTGCTCATATATCCAACTCTACAAAAAACATTACTTAAATTGTTTTATACATTCCTAAAATATATTAAAAAAAATTGTAAAACTAAAATGTACATGTAGAAGAGTGTAATATCCAAGTACCTACTTGACAGTAGTGAAGCTAACATCTCTTAGCATCTCCTAGCTGCTCATAAGTATGTGGGAGTGCAACTGCTCTCAAACATATCTTGCACAGGCATTCAAGTCTCGCAACAGAAGGAGGTATGAGACCCGAATCAATGTCCTACTCTTATTCGTAAATATTGTGCACCCAAGTAGATGCAACAAGTAGGCCCGAGCAGTGCACTCCCAAAGCTCCTGCTCAATGCACTCCTGGTAGACCTCGTGGAGCCAGTTGAGCCTAACTTTTTGACCGCGTGACGCTTTCATCTCAGCTGAAGCTTTGGCGCAGTCGACGCCAAGCAAGTCCATAAGATGATATCGAGCCTCATCATACTCTAACTCCTCTACCTCACAAAATTGCCCCATGATAGGTAGGTGGAGCAGATTATGAATGTCATCTAATGTGACACTCATCTCTCCTACCGGGAGGTGGAAAGTATTAGTCTCTAGGTGCCACATCTCCGTAAGGGAAAGGATTAATCCATGATCGACATACTTATATGATAGGTTGACTAAGTAAGCCAACCCCGACATGGAGATATAACGCTCAATGGCCTCATGGTACATTCTAAAATGCTTCAATTTTTTACCATGGGACATCACTTTGATCTCCCCTCGATCCTACATAAAAATACAAAATTATATAACAAAAATAAATTAAAAATTAATGAACAATTAACATTTTGGTTGATAATTAACCCGGCCTTGCTATATGGCAAATGCAACATGCTGGGTATAATGTGTAAGTAAGGAGGTGTCACGTGGACCTCCTGGAAATCCATCATCTTCATCTTCCTCTTCCTCTTCATCTTCATCTTCATCTTCTTCCTCACTATAGTCATCCTGATGTTGAACATCCTCATGCTCAACATAATCATCCTCACCATGTCCCTACTGTATAAACTCCCCCTGCTCCTCATGATCATGCTCATCAATGACGTCCACGCGATATTCTTCTACGCGTCTTTTACGAGCAGATGTCGTAGGTCGTCTCCTTTCATCATGTGATAAAGATGATGACTCACCACGAGAGGATGAAGCCTCACCACGATAAGATGATGCACCTCTAGTTCTAACAATTTCTATTAACCAATTATATTATTTACATATTGTGTACAAAAAAATAAATAATTATATAATAATAAATATTGAAACAAATAATAAATAATCAAAAAATAAAAAATTAATAATAAAATAATAAAGAAATAAATAAAATAACAAAAAAATTACTTAAATAATTACAAATAAGAAAAAAAATAATATGTAAGAAAATAAAATTTAGGGATAATAATAATTATTTAATTAAATAAATAATTTAATCAAAATTACAAATTCATAAACAAAAATAAAAAAATTAAATAAAATTATATACATAATAAATAATATAAAATTTAAAATAAAAAAAACAACAATCTCAAAAAAAATTAACAAACAAATAAAAAATTTCATACTATACTCCGAAAATATATTACATTTTATTTAACATTTAAACCTAACATAAAAATTAAAATTGCATAATATATAAATATAAAATTTTACAAACAAAAATAAAAATTGTTAAAAAATAAAATATACTAACGTAATTAACAAAAAAACAAAACCAGAAAAAATAACCCTAAACCGCAACTCCATGTGCAACTAATCGCAGATCCAAGTGCGGTTAGCCTCAGCAGCAAATCCAACTGCGGACAACCCACATATGCACTTCCAAGTGCACCGGCCATGTAACTCTGAAAACCCAACTATAGATCCAACTGTGGTTACCATCAGCCATAAATCCAATTGCGGCTCCACCCTCATCCGCACTTCCAAGTGCGGCGGACATTAACTGCAATTCCAAGTGCGGTTAAGCATGGGCTCCCAGTTCTAGCCCAGATCAAGCAGAAAAACAATGGTCAAACGTGCATATCAACCAAAAATCAAGCACAAAAATATATTCTATCATACAAAAAAATATTTTTTTCCCACACCAATCCATCATGCATCATATACTCTAACAATAAGGAGATCAAAATAACTAACTTGGATGCCAGAAAAATCTAAGCTTGATGTACGTGAAATTTGTGAGAAGAAGATACATACTACAACTCACCACGACACCAACATGGACAGTGAACAAAACAGGGAGGAGGGGAAAGGAAGAACACTCACCACGTTAAAAAAAATGGTGAAAAAGGAGGGAGGAGGGGAGGAGGGGAGGAGGGGAGAAGTGCAAGAAAGAGTCCAGAAGAGGGTATAGAGTTTCAAACGTGAGATGCGGCAGAGGAAGGTTTCTTCTTTGTAGTGGATGGGTTGACTTTTTATAAAACCAAAATATTCTCACTGACATGGTACAGTTGGAATTACAAAAGAATTGTTAGGTACATGGTGAACTTAGTGAGGTATAGGGAGAAGCCCTCAATTAATAATCGCAGATAGTTGTTGACTTTTACTACATATTTATTATTAAAGTATTGGGATAAACACTAACTTTAGATCAAAGTGTTTTCTATATATAACATTTCGGCTTGAACAAACGATAAAGTGATAAAGAGAAGATTAAAGAAAAAACTTTGACCTAAGTTTGAATCTTAGAAACCTTTTGTAAAAGAAGACTTAAGCTTCACCTCTTAAACCAAACCAATAAATAAAAAAACTAAACTTACATAAATAAAAAAATCAGTCAATTTTATTAATCATATTTAAAATAAGTAAAAGCAATGAAAATGATAATCCTTTGAAGCCGGCTATTAATGTGTAGGCACAAGGTTAGAAGCAGCCATTAAGAATTAAATTCCGTATTTAATTTTTGGTGGATTACGTGTGAGTGGGAATTAGACAGATAGATGGATAACTTTTTCAATTCAATTTAAAAAATGGCATTCAAAAGAACAAAAACTTGAACACAATGCTAAGAATCAAATATAATTTAATATGCATGCATTCTTTTTGAGTTTTTTAATATCCACTTCTTTTTAATTAATGCTTAATCTCAATAGCACGAGTTTAACGACTAAAATACTAAGGTAAAAGATGATGACCACATATCTTCGTTGACCACCAGAAACGCCGTCGTCTTATTAGGAAATTAAAATAAAAAATTGACATTCTAATATCTTTATCTCATAAGTTCTTTAATAAATTAGGTTTTACGGTACTTCGAACCTTCTTAGATTCATGCTATTCATCCTAGTATTTAGACTAAAATTTAATGAGTATTTATATAAATAGATAAATATAATTTGTATAGTGAGTTATCTAAATAAAACGGGAATGTAAGAGTAAAGAGGTGTTTTATTCAACTTTTTTTTTCTTATAATATTTTTCTTAAAAGTTGTAGCAATAAAGCATAATGTAATATTTTTTCCGATAAAAGATTAAGGAATACCTCTTTTGGTCCCTCGAAAGGGGCAAAAGTTCAATTCAGTCCTACCTTTTTTTAGAAGTTCAATGTGGTTCCAACTTTTGTAAAAAGTGTGCAATCAAGTCCTTTTTGGAAACGACGTTGAGTTTTTAACAGAGCAGCTGACAGGGTGGACTGAAGTTAGCTATGTGGCTGTGTGTGGGTAATACGTGGTTGTGAGAGGGTCATACGTGGCTGTGAGAGGGTAAATGTGATAATATTACTGAGGTTAAGAAATCAGAAGTTAGGGTTTGAGTTGCAGAGAAATTGGTAATTTGGGAGCAGCAACAACACCAATAACATATTCGATGCCATCTCTGTTGAAGACGCCATCTCTGAGCTTAGCATATTCGATGCTCACAAATACTTCAACGATGATGGTAGCAGCAACAACACCAATAACATTCAAAAGGTTAACATGAGCAGAGTCTCTCCCATGGAGCGAATTCCAGAGAGAGGTGATGTCATCGCCACAGAAACCACCAGATACTCCTCTGCTTCATCATCTGTGGACGGCTACGCCCACATCAGAAACTACAGAGCACGCTCATTCCACGCGGCAACTCCAACGGCTTCCTCAGAAGCCAGATGGAACAGCCAAACGGGGCTGATGTCTCACCCTCCAGGTGCAATCCCTGTCTCAATGCAAAACCCTAAAAGCCTTCGAAACCCCAAACACTCCAAATCCATTTGGCTCCTTAGGAGAAAATGTCCTTGCACGGGGAAAAAATCAGTTCAAATCAAAGAATCAGCTCAAGAATCCAAATCTCAGATATCACAACAAGAAAGAAATTACGAACATCACAACGTTACTAATCACATCACACCAAATAAGTGGATTCTGAATGAAACACCAGCATCGCTACCGGTACCGGTAACAGCAACAATTGCGGCAGCGAAATCGCAACGGTTTCACAATTCCAACTCTCATAGAGTTACGAGCTCAGTGAGAGTACCGTTCACCGAGGGATTCACTTTCCCCGTGCTAAACCCTAACAATCCAATAACAAAACTAAAAGTCGCAAACAANCATTCCACGCGGCAACTCCAACGGCTTCCTCAGAAGCCAGTTGGAACAGCCAAACGGGGCTGTTGTCTCACCCTCCAGGTGCAATCCCTGTCTCAATGCAAAACCCTAAAAGCCTTCGAAACCCCAAACACTCCAAATCCATTTGGCTCCTTAGGAGAAAATGTCCTTGCACGGGGAAAAAATTAGTTCAAATCAAAGAATCAGCTCAAGAATCCAAATCTCAGATATCACAACAAGAAAGAAATTACGAACATCACAACGTTACTAATCACATCACACCAAATAAGTGGATTCTGAATGAAACACCAGCATCGCTACCGGTACCGGTAACAGCAACAATTGCGGCAGCGAAATCGCAACGGTTTCACAATTCCAACTCTCATAGAGTTACGAGCTCAGTGAGAGTACCGTTCACCGAGGGATTCACTTTCCCCGTGCTAAACCCTAACAATCCAATAACAAAACTAAAAGTCGCAAACAACGTCGCAGAGAAAGATCCGCCGCGCGACTCGTTAGATGTGTTCCGGCCCCCAGACGAGCCATCGCCGAAGCCGCTGAACTTCTCGTTCCAATTTGAGCTTCAGATTTCCGGTATCCAATTCGCGCTTCAGATTTCAACACACTTCCTCCACGATGATAAATCCCAAATTACCAATTTCTCTATAACTCCTCAAACCCTAACTTCTGATTTCTTAACCTCAGTAATATTATCACATTTACCCTCTCACAGCCACGTATGACCCTCTCACAGCCACGTATTACCCACACACAGCAACGTAGCTAACTTCAGTCCACCCTATCAGATGCTCCGTTAAAAACTCAACGCCGTTTCCAAAAAGGACTTGATTGCACACTTTTTACAAAAGTTGGGACCACATTGAACTTCTAAAAAAAGGTAGGAACCGAATTGAACTTTTGTCCCCTTTCGAGGGACCAAAAGAGGTATTAAACCAAAGATTAACTATTTGAGCCAATTATCTTCTTATCGAATGAAAACATACATTTACAAAATAAAAATATTGTGTAAAATTAAATTAACTTAAATTATTTTAAGGATGGCAAAATATAAGTATTTAAAAGTTTTAAATTTTAAAATGTCTAAATTTACTTTAGTTTGTAAAGCTGATCTAACAATGATTTGAAAATCATATATTATTAATTAAACAAATTTAAATCTGATTAAACTAAAAGTATGTTTTAAGCAATACATTTAGGAGAATGCTAACTAATGCAATCAAAATACTGTTTAAGCTATAACTAATGGTTCTTGATTCCACTGAAATACGGAATAATTAACTTTATTAATTAAAATAATATAATTTTATATAATAGATTTTTTAAAGAAAAATATACCTTTTTTTTTTTTGTTTTTTAGTAAAACTTAGATGTTTAACAATTTACTACTCGATATACAGAGTTGTTTATATTTTTAATTTTCCTTTGTTAATTTCTCTGTTAATTTAAGCTTTTTATTTATTTACGTTTAATTATATTTTAATTTTTAGTAACATTAAAATGATCATGATAAATAATTAAAAAAAAAAAGAAACGGTACAACGTTAAATTATTTTATTATTTAATTATTTTTTAACTTTTTTTTATTATACATCAAATTAATTATCAGTGATAATTGTATAACATTTATAGGCATTTTTGTTATCTAAATAAAATAAAACTGCATTAATGATTACTGAGCTAAAAATTTATTTATGTCACACTTAATTATAATTTTTTGTAAAATTCAATGTTTATTAATTATTCTTAACAGTATCTTTTAGACACTAATTAGCAGAACCCATACTTTTAAATCAGACTGCTTATTAATATGATCAAGTCACCATTTAAGGTTTAGCACTTTAACTTAACCATGATTCGTGTTAATAAAATAATACTAATAATTCATAAAATAAATAATTTTAAATATACAATTTCATAATTTTTAAATTATAATAAAATATTATTTTAAAGAAAATTTATGTTCAAAGTATATATAGTTATTCAAATATAACGTATATTTGAAATCTCATTCATTAAATATGTTATCAAACTATAGTATGTGAGCTGGTATAAATATTATCCTACCAAATTAGTTCCCTATTATCAAGAAGTTGTGTTTAATCTATGTTCCAGATGTTCAAATCTAGATATATTGAAAACTCCAATAAAAATACAAGACTAAATAATAATATATATTAATTTAGTCTTTTTAATTTTAAACAATTAAAAAAATTTAGTCAATATTTAGTCCTTACAATTTCAAAGATTTTAAAATTTCTAAAAAAATAATTGAAATAGTCTACTTCAATTTTTTTTTCTAAAAACTTAAATATCAACCATCAACGTTTTGTATGGACACATTTATGCATTGCTTATGACTGAAATTTTCAAAATCAACCACGAATTAAACTTTAACAGAAAAATGAAAACTTGTAAAAAGAAACACACGAATGCAATAAAGTTATAAGATGCAAAACGAAGAAGAGAGAGAAGGAAAGAGATGATTGGAGCATTGCTATAAAGTCATAGATACAAACTCACATAATTAGAGAAGAGAAAGTAAAAAACGTTGACAATTTGTGGGCTAAAAGTGAGAAAGAAGACGAACTATAATCGTTATAATATATGTTGGGTGATCAAGATCCAAAAATTTATTTCCTACATAGTGAACAAAATAGAAACATTTACTGCAACTTTAATTAAATTTTAACCATCATTATATATATCATTTATCAATATTGAAATACTATGCAAGCTAAATCAAACAATATTATATGTATAATCTAAAAATTGGAGATTTAGACCACTTCAATAACCTACTTGGATTCCCTAATATTCCAATACAAACAGAGAAAAAATCCACCGTCACAGAATACTCATAATTAACAACTTAAATCACAAAATTAACCTTCAAAACTTCTATAAACATAAAAAAAACTACCAAAGAAGAAAAATGAAAAGGAAGAGAAAAGGAAAATAATCACACTCCAGAAACACAATGAAGAAGAAACACAATAAGGTATTTTGGTTTATGTTTAATGCTTTTAAAGTTTTATGTAAAATTTAATACTTACGATAATGTAAATGTCAATTTTTAAGTTGAATCGCAAAACTTTCAACATAAAATGTAAGGACTGTTTCTTTGTTTTCTTTTTCTCCGTCACTCTTCTTCCTTTCTTCTTCTCTTATCACTTTCCTCTTTTTCTTTTATCATTTCTTTGAAAATCCTAGGGTTATTTATAGTAGGTTGTAGGCGTGAGAGTAAAGGAGCAGTAGGAGGAGACTCATTCCACTTCGCGGCGCAACTGTTTCTGTTTGTGGGTACAGTGACAACGAGGTTTTCTTTGCGATGGCGGAGTTTCGACATTTTCACGGTGAGTTTCCAATGACTCAGATACAGTGTTTTTCACGATCGCTTTAGGGTTTGAATTTTGAGTTTCTTTTCTCTTTCTGATTTGTGGTGATTTGGGGGTTAGTGTTTCAAAGAGAGTTTTCTTCTGACGTCTCGCGATGTTGGGTGTTACCATGAAGGAGAAGAGTTTTTAGGTAAGAGAAGCTAGTCCTTTCTTGAGATTATTTTTATGGTGTATGTTTAGTATATTTATGAGTGACAATATGATGTGAATGTAATAGTAATATTGTTCTAGTAAGTATGGTGTTTAGATAATGAATATTGATAACATGATGTTTGAATGATTTATATGAGGTAATATTGATCTTATTGGTGTCATGATTGATGTGCTATGAAGTTGTATTTCTGATTGGAATATGATGCAAGGCTTAAATAGTAGAAAAAGACTTGAGTTTTTGGTGGTTAAAAATGAAGGTATTAATGGGCAGTTTTGAGTAATAGTGTTTGGATGGAGAAAACTGGTATTGTAGGTCTGATTACATGTTATTTGTGAGTTGTTAACATCGTGAGTTAGTGATAATCTGTTGAAGAATTAGATATGGTTCCATGAAGGGGTTTTGTAAGGTTTTAAGTGTATATTAGGGGTTTTGAGGAGTGAAATTCTGAAGTAAGGAGTTGGGATAGGTTTTGATAGTTTGTGGTTAGCATATGAGTCATTTAGCACTTATCTCAACCTTTGTTTTGCTGAAATTTAGGTATGGAGTGGTAGAATTGAGTTTAAGTAGTTTAGAATATGTAATTTGGGGTGTTGAGTGGTCAATTTGAGATAGAGACATGTTTTCATAGGTATCTTAGTGCCTAAGAGTGTTTAGGAAATATTTAAACTTGTATAAAAGGTACCCAATGTCAAAATAGGTGAATTTTAAAACCTGGTATGGCGCCCCTAAGTGCCACTCGACCAACTTTTGTTTTGTTTTTTTTCAATTAAGGGATCTCAAATTCGAGATTCCAGATATCAATTTTGGACTTCTTTAAGTTGTTTTGAAGGTTTTGGACCCTTCCAAAGGTGTTGGTGAGGGTTTCAAAGTTGTTTTCCTTGCCTAGTGTGAGTATCAAGTTGCTAAAGAAAATTGTGTTATTGTATGATTTCTGATAACTTGTAAGGGTGTTTCTAGTTCTTTACTGTATTATCAGTAGTCTCATGTATTGGTATACTATGTGAATGTGAAGTGATCTTAATGGTTTCAAAGGTATGGATATGAGTTCCAAGGAGGAACTTCTTGGTGTTGGTTTCAAGTATCATTAGTATGAATGCAGGAAGCCCAGTCTTGGGGGTTATCTTGACACTCTAATGATCTTTCATTCTCAAGTAGAGAAGATTGACACATGTGGTGAGAGTAGTAGGAGGTCTTAGTCTTCGGTTCTTCTAGTATGATCCAAGGCGTGGAACAAACTAACCTTGTGAGTGTGGTAGGGTGAAACCCGTTGGTAATGACTTTGTAAAGTAGTTGAGGACATCACAAGTGCGCAACCCGCCATAGCTCGACATTCAATCTAAATTCGGATAGTCAGTCTAGGCCCTTGTATATTAGGATGTGTGGGTTGATGTATGTTATATGTGATTCATCTACGTATTATTCTAAATGCTATATGACTTGTTTTGTATCTAACTTACCCTTGTGTTTGTGTGTTGTTTGTATGTGCTTGTGCTTTAAATCTTGGCTATGATCATCTAGTGGGTGTGAACAGAAGGTGATGAGGTGAAAGTGGAGCAGGTTCTTGATGGAGACGTCCCTAATGCATAGATAGATCAATAGTCATTTATTTTAGATGTGTC